AAAAAAAAAAAAAAAAAAAAAAAAAAAACACATCATAGTAAAATTAATACCTTCTCCGCTTCGCATCGAAGCTAAAATTATAACTATTAATATAAATTAACTAATACATAATAATAGTAAAATATATAATTAGTTATTAATTTATAAATGGCGAAACAAGAGGGTGGCTTCGCCACTGCATTTAATTGTAATTTACCAAAGTTTTTGTGCAATATAGTGATACTACATGAATATCTTACACTGTATATTTTCAGTGTTATAATTTTTATTCCTGTATTTTTTTTTTTTTTTTATTTTAAGCCGTTATTTTTATTGTTACTGTAGGGAAATACTTGCATCGAAACGTCGTTACGAAGTTGGTTTAGAAAAACTCCAAGCTGCTGCAGATGACATAGCAATTATGCAAGAAGAACTTAAAGTATTGCAACCAAAAATTTTATCAGCTACGGCTGAGGCTAAACTTATCATGCAGCAAGTTGAAAAAGAAAATCAAGAAGTATCTAAGGTTAAACAGGTTATCAAACGTGATGAAGAAGAAGCAATGGTAACTGCAGCCAAAGCCCAAGAGATTAAAGAGGAATGTGATGCTCATATGGAAGAGGCCAAACCAGCATTAAATGAAGCACTAGCGGCTCTTAATACCCTTACTTCTAACGATATAACATTTGTCAAATCAATGAAAAACCCGCCTAAAGCAGTAAAACTAGTAATGGAAGCTGTTTGTATTTTGAGAGACACTAAACCAGAAAAAATCACAGATCCATCCACGGGTAAAGCTGTCGAAGATTTTTGGGGACCATCAAAAAGATTACTTAGTGATATGAAGTTTTTGGAAAATCTAATAAATTATAATAAAGATGATATTCCCATAAAGATAATGCAAACTATTCGTACAAAATATTTAACTAACCCAGAATTCACACCAGATAAAGTAAAAAACGCTTCAATTGCAATCCAAGGCTTATGCAAGTGGACTATAGCAATAGCAAAATACGACTTAGTTGCTAAAGAAATTGCACCAAAAAAACAGGCTCTCGCTCAAGCTGAAGCAATGTATAAAAGTGCGATGGATGCACTAAATGAAAAACGATCTCAACTGGCTGCAGTAGAAAAAAAAATGAAAGCAGTACAAGATGACTTGGATAGTAATGAACGTCGTTTGAAGGCTTTCCAAGACGAATCAAATTTAGTTCAAACTAAACTTCAAAGAGCTGAAGATTTAATAGGTGGTTTAGGAGGTGAGAAAAGCAGATGGCAGCAAAGTGCATTTGATCTAGGAGAACGATATGAAAACCTTACAGGTTAATAATGCTTTCAAATTTCAAATTTACTTCTAGCATTAACCTATTAAATGTGAAGAATAGAGATTTTCAAACCTACTCTTGGTAATAATTTTTATTTTTTAATAAAATTTTTCATTTATTTTATTTAGGAGACATGCTGATGAGTTCTGGAATTATAGCGTACTTAGGTCCATTTACATTGGATTTCAGAAGTAAACAAATTAAAGAATGGGCTAAGAACATAATAACCAATGGATTAGTGTGTTCAGATAATTTTCAACTAAGTGTAGTTCTTGGAAGACCAGTAGATATTAGGACTTGGAATATTGCAGGATTACCAACCGATTCTTTTTCGATAGATAACGGAATTATAGTCGTGTAAAATAAATTATTATTTTATATGTGTGTGTGTGTGTGCGCGCACGATTTAAGCTGTTCTAAATTAAATACTACCAACTTTATTGATGTATTATATCCATTAAAAAATGTCTCATCTTTTTAATACTATTAATATTTAAATAAATATTTTTTTAATTTTTTCATAGTAATGCTAGGCGAACATCTCTTATGATAGACCCACAAAGTCAAGCTAATAAATGGTTAAAAAATATGGAAATAGATAATTCATTAAACATCCTACGATTTAATACACCAAATTACGTAAAAATATTAGAACACGCTATAACAAACGGCCAACCGGTAAAAAAAAATTATTTCTAATTTAACTACATCATTTGTATAAATTGAATTGTTTAATTTATCAATAGGTATTACTAGAAAATATTTATGAAGAATTAGATCCAATATTAGATCCCGTACTTTTATTACAAATATTTTTAACAGGTGGTACTTACTGTTTAAAACTAGGTGACTCTATAGTTGAATACAATAATCGTTTCAGGTAAAATTTTTTCCATAATTATCAGAGATAATTATTATAACTGAAAATAATAATATCATAAGCCATAATTGTTTTAGATTTTATATAACAACAAAATTGAGAAACCCTCATTATTTACCAGACGTCGCCGTCAAGGTAGTATTAGTCAATTTTATGATTACACCAATCGGACTAGAAGATCAGCTATTAGGGGTGGTAGTAGAAAAGGATAGGCCAGATTTACAAGCCGAAAAAAATCAATTGATCGTACAAGGAGCAGAAAATGCTAGGTATTTATTCCAAATCGAAGCAAATTAATCATTTTTTTGGTAAAATATTATTTTACTATATTACAATTTGTTATATTTGAAGTAAACTAATTTTACCGATAGAATTATAACAAGCATATAAATTTTTAACTTAAACAAAGGGAGCCAATAAATACCAGGGAAAGTATTACAAAATTAATAGTTGTTAAAATAGGCCACTTTGAATAATTTGTCCACTAACTACTATAATGGGATATTTATCCTATTATCTTATTCTATGTCTTTTAAAAAATGAAAGTTTTGGGTGATTTGATTGTGTTTACAAAGTGACCCTCAATGATTTACTAACATGAATATTAATTAATATACTTATTAATATAATATTAATTATAGACTTAATTATACTGTTCCTTTTTGTTTGAAATGGTCAACAGCTACTAACAGGCTACAGCTGACAGTCAGTTTAATGTATCAACAGTAATTACAGTAATCTGACTATCATAATTGACCATTTAAGTTTATATAAGTAACGGGCAAAATCGAACAATTAGTAATGGAGATATTCTTATAATCAAAATAATCATTCATATTCAAAATAATCGAATTTCAATTTTACTAATTATGAATAATAATACTCAATATCATTAATACCGATTACATATGTATTTTAATCATGCAATGTAATCGATATCAATCACAATGGTAATAGAGTATAGTTTTACTTTATAAAATACCATTTAGAAAATATGCAGAGTTATTACACAAATAATACGTGTTATTTTTAATAGCCGTTAAGATGTTCACTTCTTTTAACTTAAATAATTAATTTTATAGCTATTTTGAAATAATATTTTTTCCGAGGTAATATTATATTAAATATAATATTATATTATGTAATATTATATATAAATATTAGAAGTAAAAGCAAAGAATAAACGAATTAATTGTTTAGCGTACATTTTATTTTATAAATTGTCTTACTAAAATGCCGTGAGCTGTGTTATAATCGAATAAAACTCACAATAACAGACTATATAAAAACATAGTCATTTTTATAGTATATGGCACGACCTTCAAATTATTATAAATTGTCTGAATGACGATGCATACGTCATCCAAACAATGCATCTAATAACTCGACTTTTAATTTAAATAAATATAATGAATGAGTGAAAAAACGTCATTAAAATGAACCCATCAATTATAATTATTGTAATCTTCGGAATGACTCGATTATTCTCATAATCGAATAATTCAATTATTTTCATTCGATTATGCCCATCACTAGTTCTTATTATACTACTGTCACAGACTTATCTGCGTTACCACATTTTCAAATTTTAGTCGACATTAACGTGAATAGCAGTCGTCAAGTTTACTCAACAACTCAAAAAAAAAAATTTAGAATTCCGTCCTGAATGCCAATACAATTACATAATTTTTTATCAATCCACTAATATGAATAATTTTGAATCCTTTTAATATTATCCTAGACAATTAAAAGACATTGAAGACAAAATACTGCAAGTCTTGAGTTCATCTGAAGGAAATATTTTAGAAGACGAAGAGGCTGTAAATATATTAAGTTCATCGAAAGTGTTGGCTAATGAAATTCAAGTAAAACAAGCCGAGGCTGAAATAACTGAACGTACTATTGACAAAACGAGACTTCAGTATCAAAAAGTTGCAGTTTATTCAACGACTTTATTTTTCATAATTGACACTTTAGCCAACATCGATCCGATGTATCAATACTCTTTAACTTGGTTTATTCGCTTATTCATTGCAACCGTAGAGAACAGTCCAAAACGAGATAAAATCGAAGAAAGAACAGATGCTTTGATAACATACTTTACATATTCGTTGTATGTTAACGTCTGTCGCAGTTTATTTGAAAAGGTTAATATAATATGGTATAATATTTACGATTCTATAAAATGATAATAAAGAAAATCAATGATTATTTTAATTATAATGTATAATATTTCACTTTAATTGTATTTAGGATAAATTACTGTTTTCTTTTATAATGGCCATAAAACTTTCTAAAGATATCTGCAGTCAAGAAGAATGGATATTTTTTTTGACGGGTGGCGTAAGTTTAGATAATCCAATAAAAAACAACATTAATTGGTTGCAAAATTTAAGCTGGGACGAACTTTGCCGTTTAGATGATCTATCAAAATTCAAGGTACTGGCTTGTACATTATTCTTAATAGATAAATTAAAATGCAAATAGTATAAGTGGTATTTTTAAAACATTGAGTAAGGTATACAGCGGACTGAAAATACGAGGTATGTACAAAAATTATGTAAGATTAGTATAGTTGGTATTTGACATTGTGGATTCCAGTATAGATAATATCTACAGTGATTAACATCACTATCATAAAATTTTACATAAAAAAAAATGAAAATATGTTAACAGACTTTAGCAGACAGTTACTCATAGAAAATCAATCTTCGAGACTACTTTTTTTAATATTAGAGTTCACCTTAAAAATATTTATTTAATAATGAATATAAGTTGTCAGACATTCCTAAATATTTAAAAAAATTGAAAAAACAATTAGACTGCGTAAGTAGTAGCCTCATTCAAACCTTTTATGTTTTTAAGTTTTCAATTAGATAATATAAAAAAACATATCAAAAATAAAGAACTTTATTATTGCTTAAATAAATTTCGTTAAATTAACAATTAAAAATACAGGGAAAAAATTCTGAATATATCTTTTTTCATCTAATTGCTTATAGATCTTTTCTAAATTATTAAAATTGATACTTAAATCGGATTTGTTTGCCGTAATATTACCAAAATAGGTACAGTGAAAGTCTTGTATTTCGTGAACGGACAAAAATATCACACATCATAACAAATATAACTTCGCATCGAAGCTAAAAAAATTTCTGATTGCATCACCGAGCACGATTAACTCAACATTTAAAAAATGTCTCTTATAACTTTTTCTTTTTAAGCACCACGTGTATAATATTTAAAATTTATGTTTTTGTTGGTTAAATTTATTATAATTGACTATCGTTTTAATTATTAAATAATTGAATCAAAATTGTCTCTATTACAATTCTTATGTACAAACAGTACGTCCTGTTATATTAAACACTAAGTACATTGTTATAAATATATGTGTAGTTGCACAGACAGCATAGATACAATTTAGAGGAACAATATTAATATTATAAAATGTTTTCATACACTTTGTAGGGTATAAAAGAGGATTTTGAAAAAAATGGACATAAATGGAAAGAACTGTATGATTTACACGAACCTCATCTTGCAAAATTTCCAGAGCCATGGGAATCGCGTCTTAATTATTTTCAAAAATGCATAATAATACGTATAATCCGATATGACAAGGTCGTACCGGCTATACGATATTTTATTGCAAGTATGTTAATTAAAATCATAAAAATAAATCAACAATAAACAGAGTAATGGGTTTATAAAAAACCACACAATTACTCGCAGAATATAAACAGTTTTGAAAAAAAAAATGTTTTAATTTTAATAGTTACTTATTATTCTTGAATAACTAACTATGTCATACTTTTTAAATTCATCCCTTATGCCTTGTGTGGGTGTTAACATTGTTTTTATGTTCAAAATGAAACATATATTTTACCTAGGATAATCTTAAACATTTGTCAAAATTGTGAATAGCGTTTGAATCAATAATATAACATCATCAGTTTATTAAATATAACACATTAAAGTTTTAAATTTTTCAGTTTATATACATACATAATATAAAAATGATTATACTTATGGTTGATGTGCTAATTAATAAATGTTTATTTTTAAGCCTTCGGTAGCAACATTGTATCTTAGAATTACCTTAATATTACCACTCAATAGCACCATAATTGGCAATTGGCAATAATTGGCACTGCGTATGAATAGTGCGAAACAATTGTGAATAGCAACGTCATAAAGAAGCAATTAGCTACCCGTATTTGTAATTTCTTGAATGCTATACATGTATTTTAACTCTAAAAATCGAAACTTCAGAGTGTTATAACTAATAAATTATTTAAGTTAAATAAAAAATTCCAATGCTTTAAAATTAAAATAATACATTTTTATTAATTAAAGAAATTTAAATTATATGTTCCCATTTGAAAAAATAAAGTGAAACCTTCACAATACATAGGGAATAAACTTAAACAGAATTACAAAGCTAATAAAATAATTCAAGAAAATTATTTAACTAAAAGTAATAAAAAGAATAGAACAATAGAACTGAAATTAAAATAAATGCCAAGTAATAAAAATATGGGGAAAATTGTAAAAAAAATAATAAAGAAATGTAAAATTTTTTTTGCACGGTGTTCTAAAAACAAAAATGTCAAATTTAATTATATCGAAATTAAAAACTTTCACTTATAATACTTGAATTCTGGCTTCTCATTTTTTAAAACAAAAACTTTTAACATCTTATTATTACATAACCAAATACACTTGTTCAAATATTGTTTCAGACAAATCTCCTTTGGAAAGTAAATTTATTGAACCTCCTCCCTTTGATTTAGCATCAATATTTTTAGACTCGGACTGCACATCTCCTTTAGTATTTGTTTTAACTCCAGGAGCTGATCCAACCGCAATGTTACTTAAATTTTCAGAGAAAATGGTAAAATTGTAATGGTAAAAATTATGAAATGGTAAAACAATATTATTTCTAGGGATTTAGTACTAGACTGGCATCTTTATCGCTGGGTCAAGGTCAAGGCCCGATAGCAGCAAGACTTATTGAAGAAGCTACAAGAAATGGAAATTGGGTATTATTACAAAATTGTCATTTGGCTCAGAGCTGGATGCCAGAACTTGAAAAGGTTATTGCTTATTATATATTTTTAATTACTTTTTAATACTATGCGCAGTTATACTACTAAGATTGTTAACTTTTATTGTAGATCTGTGAAAGTTTTTCCGTTGATACAACAAGTTCAGAATTTAGACTTTGGCTTACATCATACCCAGTAGATTATTTTCCAGTTTCTATACTGCAAAACAGCGTAAAAATGACAAACGAACCTCCAAAAGGTCTTCGAGCTAATATCTATCGGTAAACGTTATTTGAAAAACATAAATAATGATATTAAATCGTTTTCATTTATGTCCAGATCTTTTATGAGCGACCCAATAGTAAATCAAGAGTTCTTTGAAGGTTGCAAACAAAGTGACAGCTTTAAAAAACTCCTCTTTTCACTATGTTTCTTTCACGCACTTATACAAGAACGTAGAAATTTTGGACCGATCGGTTGGAATCGTTCGTATGAATTCAATGAAACTGATCTCAGAATCAGTGTTATGCAATTGCAAAATTTTTTAAATGAATACACAAACATTCAGTACGATGCTTTGCGATACCTCACAGGCGAATGTAATTACGGTGGTAGAGTTACAGATGATTGGGATCGTAGATGCCTTTCAACTTTTTTAAACAAATTTTACTCTAAAGCTGTAATTAAAGTGCCAAAGTTTAAATATGATAAGTCTGGTGAGTGCAAACATTAAATAAATAAAAACTATAACTTCCACTTCTTTATACCACGACTTTTGTTAGTATATAATTTCTGTTTAATCACTTAATACAAAAACTTTTAATAACAACTCAACAGGTTTATACTATTGTCCCGAATTCAACGGATACAACGAAATAATAGAATATATTCAAGGTCTTCCTCAAATTACAAAACCAAATATTTTTGGATTACATGAAAACGCCGATCTGATTAAAGAAAGACAAGAAAGCGATGGCCTTTTAAATTCTGTCATCAAAACTCAGGTAAACAAAGAAAAACTGATTTGTTATGATAGAATAGTATGCGCAAATATAACTAACTTTTGTTATACGCTAAATCTATTTTTTTAATAAATTATTTTTCTTTTTAACTCACACAGGATAGATTTGTAAGTAAAATTTTAAGTAGTATTATTTTTAGTTTCGATGCAAAGCTGAGAAGGTATACATTTTATTATATGTTTTTTTTACTAATATATATTAATTAAAATAAACAACTATTTATTTTTAGATTGACTTAAATTATTAAATTATTTAAATAAAAATTCAAAAAGATTTTTTTTAATCCATTTGAATAATATTTTTAATTATTATCAATAAAAATACCGTATTTAGTGGCATACTCTATGTTACAATACTTAAACATCACTCAATAACTCCCTAAAAACAAAATATTATGGAAAACACCAAACAATCTTATAAAAATTTTGCTAAAAACAATTTTTGAGTGCTAAATTAAAAAAGAAAAATTTTTTTTCCTATAATTTATTTTTTTACTATGCGGCTATTTATTCTAAGGATTTATGGCATGCGTGGAATATACAACATGTAAGTAAGAAAATATTATATGTAGTTTGTTTTTAGTAACTTTTAATTCATAATTATATATCATTTTGATTTTATAGAACTTGTCTAGTTCAGGTGATGGGCAAGGGATATCTTCAGAAGAGCTAGTAGTCATTTTCGCCGTAGATATTCTTAATAAACTACCAAAACCATTTGACATAATAACAGCTTTAGAAAAATATCCAACAACTTACAATCAATCAATGAATACAGTTTTGGTACAAGAAATGGGTCGGTTTAACATATTGTTAAATGTTATCACGTCAAGTCTGATAAAAATTCAAAAAGCCGTTAAAGGTAAAAGAATTGAAATGACACAAACGCAGTCATAAACGTAACTAGACCAGACTTTTTGGGATAACATAACCTAACTCTACTTGTAATTATATACTGTAAATGTAATTATACGGCTAAGTTTTGTTTGAGTTCAGTCTAAATTAGTGTTCATAGCATCACTAATATTTATTATAAATTAACTATCATACTAACATACTTTTACAAATAATATATGTGAGGCACTCAGAAACCAAATTGATTAACTCCATAAAATGAAAATTTTCAGGACAGGCATTAAAAGTTATTCATTTATTAAAAACTTAATTATTTTTTGGTCCTATTTTTAATTAACTCATTTATTTTCTAACAATTGAGAATATGTATTTGCCACTTTATAAATATTAAAAAAAAAATAGCCTCGTTTTCGTATAAAAAATCATTTTTTATGGAGTTAGTCACATTGACAACTGAAAAATATTGACAACTGTACTAAGTGAATTACATATTATGTTTAAATTTAATACAATTATAATAATCTAGAAGTAAATATTTTCATATTTTTATCATGTCTTTATACATTTTTTCATTTTTAGGACAGATTCTTATGTCTTTTGAACTTGAAGAAGTATACCAAAGTATTTTAACTGGAAAAATTCCAGGCGTTTGGGCCAAAAACTCATACCCATCTCTTAAACCATTAGGAAGTTACCTAAAAGATTTTTTACAAAAGTTGATATTCTTTCAGGTATATATCAAATAAATACAGGTTTACTATCCAAAAATACATCTATTGTATATATTAACTCCTAAACGACTTACAAGCATAGGCGTCAAGAGTTAGGTACTTCATAGGCTTATTAGTCTTCTGCTTACAAATTAGCTTCTCCGAAAATTAAAAAAATTCATATGTATTGTTATATTAAAAAAATTTAGAGAGGGGAAGTTGATTTAATCTACGTCCTACGCTTAAATATCTAAGTAAATAATCAATATAAAATAAGTATTTATCCAAATAAATTTACATTTTCTTTAATGCACATTTATTTAATTTAATAAAATTAATTAGTATTAAATAATTAATTTTACAGAAATGGTTCAATAACGGTGTTCCTGATGTATTTTGGATATCAGGATTTTATTTTACACAAGCATTTTTGACAGGATCTCAACAAAATTTTGCAAGAAAATACAAAATACCAATAGACTTGTTAACATTTGACTATAAGGTACTTACTAACGTCAACTATAAGTTTAATTATAACAATTAATAGAAAGGTCGGTTTTGGGCGTTCTTAAAGGGGAAGATTTGAGAAATAGAACCCCCATGACAAAAATATATTTTGAGAAAGCAGTTAAAAAAATGCCTTATGTATACTTCCTTCCCAAAATAAAACTCCGAGAACGTTTCTAGTAAAAGTTGAAATGATTCGATTTCAATTGAATTTTTATCTAAAAAGTATTCATACTTCATTATTTTACAATGAATATACTTAAATATTTTGAATAGATAATGGACAGAAAAATAAAAATTACTGCATGTCCCGAGGACGGTGTTTATGTTTATGGTCTATTTTTGGATGGAGCAAGGTGGAGCAATAAAAAAGCAAGTTTACAAGAATTAAAGCCAAAAGTTTTGCATGACATTGTACCAATTATTCATATGATACCTGTAAAAAAGGAAAATCTCAAATCACTTGGGTTATATGTATGTCCGATGTACAAGACAGCTGAAAGAAGAGGCACGTTATCTACCACCGGTCACTCAACTAACTTTGTTATTGCTTTAGGAATTCCTACAATTAAATCAGCTGAGCATTGGATTATGAGAGGGGTTGCTCTGCTTTGTCAACTATCTCAATAATATCAGAATTATGTGCTAACATAATCATTACATATTTCTGTAGATGAATTACAAAGTCGTCCAGTTTAAAACAATCAAATTTTATTAGATTTTTGTAATCTCTTTAAATAACTTGATTTTCTTTCATTTTAAATTGAATAATTGAATGAGTTCAAGATCGTATTAAAATAAAAGGTCTTACAATCAAAAGAATTATTATTATATTTTAGAAAATTAAAATTATAATAAAATACAATTATTATTAAATTCAGTATTTTTTAATTTTATTTTACTTATTAAATTTTTAAATAGTTTTTCTCTAAATAATAAATGCGAATAGTAAGTAGAACTTTTTCAACTTATTTTTAATTAAAATATATTTATTGATTATTCATACGTAACTTAATAATTTAACATAAATATTTGTTAAATTAATTAGAAGGATTTTGTTATTATTTAATAATAAGACTCATGTACAATGATACTCAGGAATATATAAATTCTTTACTGTTTCTATATACACAGGAAAAAATTTAATAGAAATTGATCAATCATACAATCTTAAATCCCATGTAAAAATTTGATTGGTTCTTTCTGGAAACCTTTTTTTAATCAATATAACAAAAAAATCGAGAATTATTTCATTGATGTTCCATACAATAAAAGAAATTAAGAAATGTATAAAAATACAGTAAATTTTGTAACAGAAAATTTTCAAAATTGTTGATAACAATTGTCTACAATAATGACATGTATTTTTTACTAACTAAAATTCATTAGAGTCGCTAATTAAACAAGAACATCGTTCAAGATTTTTTAAGGATCCAAAATGAAAACTAAAAAATGAAATGATTAATGTTGGATTTAAATAAACAGTAGATAAACTTATAAATACTTAAATTTATTGAGTATTAAAATGTCTTTATTTACTAAATAAATGATTATTCAGTGTACATAGTTCATGCACTGTATTATTACAGTATATGTAAATATAAGAATGAGATAATTATAATCAAACACTTACCTTATATTACCAAAAGACTTTTGAAACCTAATCATTATTTTAACGTATTTATTATACTTAAAATTTAAATTCTTATGTGGAGCCAAGATAAGTGATTCATAAAATGGTGTATTGAAATAGAGAATAAAATAAAAACCGGATGCTGCCATTTGAACATTATTATCTATAAAGGAAACAAGTTAAAATATTATCTAAACACATTCAAAGTAAACATAGTAATCAAAAACACAACACACGGTACAACTGTGCAAATCTTAACTAATGAAATGAAATATTCAAATTCGTATATACTTATTATTCACGCCATATTCTATACACGAACCTAGTGACGTTTTTATATGCAGATTTCTACCCGCCGATCTTACTTATCAACACTCATATATTCGAACCTATGGCAATAGAAGTGTTAACAATTATTTTTCTGCGAACCATTTGTGCAAATGATGCTTCCAAAGTATTGTGTGCCTAACGAACACCATAAACAACAGTTGTTTTTGTTTTATTAGTCAGGTTGTGTATAAGAATACAAACTAAAATTGTATATTACATTATGCCGTGGTTTTACAATTTAAAAAAAGTTCTAACATAAAAATGTTTTCTCCAATAAATTTGAAAATATTGCCATCAAAATATCAATATTACAACAAAAATTAATAGAAAAATTCCTTTACAAAATCATATTAATATCATCATATTTTAGAAACATATATCTTGCGTACAAAAAATTTGGCTATATCCATTCATTTTTTAAATGTAATTTTTAACTAAAAATCGTCGATTAACATAGATAGACTTACAAAAATAAATACACTATAATAAAATCAACAGTTTTTAAGTTTCACGTCGAAGTTAAAAAAACATCTTATATTTTATTCACTAATATCAAACTATTTGAAGCCCTTCGCCATCTACTTAATAGTAATACTTTTAAATAAAGTATACCAAATAATGATATATGTTTCTCACATCACAAAAAAAATCCAAAAATTTAGAATTCGCACAAAAACAAAAAAAAAAATGTAACAATTAAGTAATATGGCATTTAAGTTTCAGTCTAATGAATTAAAAAATATATTTAATTATTCTTAACTTAAGCATTAAGTTAACATTACTTTTTATGAATTTATAAAATAAAATCATTTAGAAAAATTTTTTTTTCCAAATAATACAAATTTTTTGATATTTGATTTTGTTAAACCAAGAGAAAAATATTTTACGGATTAGTATCCACCCTGGACAAAAACCTACATATGAAAAAAGTCTGTTTAAACCTCCATAATCAGGGTCGTAATATGGGGGAATCAAAACGTCTCCCCTATTAATTAAAGGCCTAGACTCCTAGTCTAACATTTTTTTAATTAAATTAGGGCTTCGCGCTAGTAAAAGCAAAATGACGTAAATTATATTAAAATTATTTTTGCCATAGACCTCACAAATTTTAAGGACGACCCTGTTTATAATTTCTAATAAATACTGAACATTTTAGCTGTGATGCGAAGCTGAGAAGGTATTAATTTTATTGTGATTTGTATTATTTGTTTTTTTTTGTTACTACTTATTCTCAGCTCCTCGCTGGACCGATTTTGATTAAAAATACGTCAAATGATCACAAATTGTATCTAATCGAAGACATAACCCTCAAAAATTGAAAAAAATTCCCTTGTTCCCCGTAAATGGCGAAAATCCCCTAAAAAATTACAATTTTTAAAATCGGCAAATTTCAACTTTTTTTACTTAATACTACAATAATTTTTTTAAAAATTAATCAATACAATCTATTTTTTTTTAAAGATACATTACGTATTTACCTATCATTGAGTATATATTTTTTAAAAATTTAACACTTTAACTACCCACAAAGGAGTTTCAAAATGGCAACCAACCCAACCCTATTTCATTCGACATATGTTTTTGAAATCTGATCATTTTCCTTTATATAAGGGTGGTTCAAAACTTAAAAATGCGAATAGTATGTAGAACTTTTTCAACTTATTTTTAATTAAAATATATTTATTGATTATTCATACGTAACTTAATAATTAAACATAAATATTTGTTATATTAATTATAAGGATTTTGTTATTATTATTTAGTCATATGCGAAATTCTAATTGCATATTTGAAATCGATATAAAAATGAGTTTAGAAAATTATATTTTGGTCGTATGAAAATTCCTTGTAGACCAGTGAATTTTTAAAAATTAAACACTATCTACAGATTTGCAACGAAGTGTTTTTTATGATAGTAATATTAATCACTGTCAGATTAAATCTATACTGGATCTAACTATGATGCGACCCCACTGTACTGGATTTATTTAGTTAGTCTTGAAAGTTTAAAATTTATGTCATTAAATACAAAATTTTATAAAGATTTCAAAAATGGATTTGTTTAGATTGATGTATGTTTAGGAACTTGTATAATTACTATTAACAGTAAATTCATGAAAAAAAGCCTAAATTTCATTATAATCACTTATTATATTTCTTGTATTAGTATCATAATAAGTCATTTTAATAGAAATACTATTAATTTCTATGTAACTCATGATGCTATAATTTAAATATTAAGAACTATATTCCGTATAATATAAAATACGAGGTGTGACAATAAAATAACGAGACTTTCTAAATATAACCTAAACTATTAACGTTATCTATTAAACTATTATTGAAATATGATTAGCAAAACGCTTATCTAAAAGTACTATAAACATTGATGAACGTGTTAACATTAAATTTCTTGTTAAATTAAAAAAAACTGCCGTGGAATCATTTTGTATATTATGTGAAGTTTATGGTGAAGAATGTTTATCAAGAGCTCGCAGTTTTAAATGGCACAAACGGTTTTGCAATGGAGGAGAGGACGTGGAAGACGATGATCGTTCTGGATGTCCTACCACATGTTCATCAAACGAAAACGTTGTAAAAATCGACAAAATTATTCGGCAAGATCGTCGATTAAGTGTTAGAGCTGTAGTAGAAATTGTAAATATTGATAGAGAAAGTGTTCATAAAATTTTAGTTGAAAATTTTAATATAAAAAAAGTGTGTGCTAAAATGGTCCCTAAAAATTTGATGATTGATCAAAAATTCAATCGCAAAGAAATTTGTTCTGACACTTTAAAAATCATCAATGATAATCCATCTTTTATAAATAATATCATTACGTGTGATGAAACGTGGATTTTTACATATGATCTTGAAACTAAAAGGCAATCCATACATTGGAAGACACCAACTTCCCCAAGAATGAAGAAAGCACGAATGAGCAAGTTGAAATTCAAAGCAATGCTCATTGTTTTCTTTGACATTAAGGGAATCATTTTTGTTGAATGGGTTCTTAGTGGGTAAACTGTCAACCAATATTATAATAAAGAGGTATTAATTAAAATAAAAGAATTTGGTAGAAAAAAGCGACCAGATCTGTGGAAGAATGGCTGGGTTCTTCACCAAGACAATGCTCTAGCTCATAGTGCATTTTCAATTCAAAGTTTTTTAACTGAAAAAATATTTCTATACTTCAACATCCCCCGTATTCGCCAGATCTTGCTCCTAGTGACTTCTTCTGATTCCCAAAAATTAAAAGTTTATTAAAAGGAACCCATTTTTAAACGGTTGATGACGTAAAAATGAAAACGGCAGAACTTCTAAAAGGGCTTTCTGAAAGCGATTGGCAACATTGTTTTCAAGAATGGCAGCGACGTATACAAAAGTGTGTTGATGCTGAGGGAAGGTACTTTGAAGGTGACAATCATTAAATTGTAAAATTTTTAAAATAAATAACTTTTATTGAAAAAGTCTCGTTATTTTATTGTCACATCTCGTATAATATTATATTTTTATTCTACGATTTAAAAGTTAATTAATTAATTACTATCATGTAGAACTAATTCAAGTATGAATGTATCGGGAGTGAATTATTTGATCTAAGTTTGAAGCCAGGCGATGTTGGAGTTGTTGACAACAACAATAAATACATTGTTAAAAAAACCCAGCACAGGGGGGTCGCGGCACAGTGGTGACGTGGCATAGTTGGATCAAGTATAATGATATCTGACAGTGATTAAAATCACTATAAAAAAAAAACGCTTCGACGCAAATCTTTAGATATTGTTTAATTTTAAAAAATTGGTGGATTATTCCAAAAGCTACATGATCTGCTAGTTCGTTATTAATATCCTGATTAAGATAAAGTATGTCGAATGAAAAAGGGATTATTAAAAAATATTATTTCTCATAAAAAAAATGTGTTGATCCATACACTTTTCAATAAGTTATAGCATTATAAAGTTAAAAATGTCAAAAATAAAATCGAGAATTTTCACACAATAATAGCATTTGGTAGCCATTTTCACCGTGAAGACAAAATAAAGTCCGAAATTTTTATTTTGCATAATAAAATACATTACATTAACTTTAATTTAAGATATATATAAAAGTGTCAGACTTTCCGGAACACTTTCAAAATTTAAGTTGAAAAAGTAAATTTTTTGTGAAAAAGTTGTCATTTTGAATCTCCCCTTGTAGGCAGGTAAAAAGTCAGATTTATTAAAAAAATATACCAATTGATAGGTAAAGACATCATGCAATTATAAAAAAAAGAATTATATTGATCCATACATCTTTCAAAAAGTTATAGCATTATAAAGTTAAAAATATAAAAAAGAATTTTTTTACAAAAATCGTATTTTTTTTATTAAGTTTAATGTCTGTTTTCACCATGAAGATAAAATAAAGTCCGAAATTTTTTTTTACCATTATAAAGTATATTACATTAGCTTTAATTTAAGATATATATAAAAGTGTCAGACCTTCCGGAACATTTTCAAAATTTAAGTTAAAAAAATTAATTTTTTGTGAAAAAGTTGTCATTTTAAATCCCCCCTTATGGGCAGGTTAAGAGGTTAAATTTATGAAAAAAATATACCAAATGAAAGGTAATGATATTACACATCTATATAAAAAATAATTATATTGATATATTCATTTTTGAAAAAGTTATGGCACTTTTAAGTAAAAAAAATTGAAAAAATTTCGAAAATTAGCGATTTTTAAATTTGTAATTTTTTTGGAGGTTTCCCCCTTTTACGGGGAACGAGGGAATTTTTTTCAATTTTTAAGGGTAATGTCTTCGACTAGATACGATTTGTGATCTTTTGACGTATCATTGAAAGAAATCGGTTCGGTGAGAGCTGAGTAAAAGTGGTAACAGACACAAAAAAAAAAAAAAACACATCTTAGTAAAACCAATACCTTCTCAGCTTCGCATCGAAGCTAAAATGAAAATGATCATCAGAGAATAGAACCTGTTTTCATAGACAAATCTGTGTCATATTTGGCTAATAAGATGAAGCAAAATAATTAACAAAATTAGCAGTGTGTGCGATGAATAATGGAATACAGCGATTTTTTTGGTCAGAGATGAAACCATACTTTAACAAATATTTTTTTGGTCCTATTTACATGGGGGGTTTAAATCTAAAAAATTCATGTAGAAAGTAGAACTTTTTCAACTTAACTTTTGAAAGTGTTCCGGAAAGTCTGACACTTTCATATATATTTTAAATTAAAGCTAATGTAATATACTTTAATATGGTAAAAAAAAATTTCGGACTTTATTTTATCTTCATGGTGAAAACAGACATTAAACTTAAATAAAAAAAATACGATTTTTGTAAAAAAATTCTTTTTTATATTTTTAACTTTATAATGCTATAACTTTTTGAAAGATGTATGGATCAATATAATTCTTTTTTTTATAATTGCATGATGTCTTTACCTATCAATTGGTATATTTTTTTAATAAATCTGACTTTTTACCTGCCTACAAGGGGAGATTCAAAATGACAACTTTTTCACAAAAAATTTACTTTTTCAACTTAAATTTTGAAAGTGTTCCGGAAAGTCTGACACTTTTATATATATCTTAAATTAAAGCTAATGTAATATACTTTATTATGGAAAAAAAAAATTTCGGACTTTATTTTGTCTTCACGGTGAAAATGGCTACCAAATGCTATTATTGTGTGAAAATTCTCAATTTTATTTTTTACATTTTTAACTTTATAATGCTATAACTTATTGAAAAGTGTATTGATCAATATAATTTTTTTATGGGAAATACTATTTTTTAATAATCCCTTTTTCATTCGACATACTTTATCTTAATCAGGATATTAATAACGAACTAGCAGATCATGTAGCTTTTGGAATAATCCACCAATTTTATAAAATTAAACAATATCTAAAGATTTGCATCGAAGCGTTTTTTTTT